GTACATCAAGTAGGAGACAAAGGAAGGAAAACCAGCCTGTGAGCCCACGCCCCTGAGGCGGTGGGAAATCGCCCGCCCCCCAACCTCCCGTTCGTCCCTCTGTCCCCCTTGAGACACCGGACCCTGTTAATCAACCACTTTTTAAAGGTCCGATATGCACCCAGTTGAGGACTGAAATTAGATTCTTTTTGACCAATGTGCGCTCCCTCCACAATCGGGAGCATGCCCATCACTCCAGAAGCTTCCCAGTGTCCTCTGCCGGCGGCCACCTCCCCTCCCGGCCGCCAGCACCCACCGACGCAATGCCTGTCCCTGTTGTGCCTTCTCCAGAAGGTCATACATAGGAGTCGCATGGAACAGAGCCATTTGTGTCTGGCTTTTTATGTGGAGACTAATGTGGTTGAGCTCCACCCTCTTTGTCGCATCTATAGTTCGTCCCCGTTATTGCTGAGTATCCGTGGTACAGAGACACTGCCATTCGCTTACCCGCGCAGCAGATGATGGACACTGGGGTTGTGTCCAGTTCGGGGCGATTGTGAATAAAGCTGTTCCCAGGTCATTGCTCAGACAGGTTCTCTTCTCTCTCAGGTGAGAACCCAAGAGAGAAATCACCGAGTCCTGCACTTGCTTAACTTCAGAAGGAGCTGCGGAGCTAGTTTCCAACATGCCTGGACCATTTCACAGTCCCACCAGCTGTGTATAAAAATGCAGCTACAGACAGCTATGATTTAAAACACACACACACACACACAAAAAACGAAGTAGCAAGTGTTAGCAAGAATGTGGAGAAACGTGAACGCTCACGGGTGGTGGGAAAGTGAAATGGTTAGCGAATGGCCCCATCACCCAGCAATTCTGCTCCTAGGAATGTGCCCAAAAAAACTGAACACAGGTGTTCAAGCAGAAACGTTCATGGTGGCGTTATTCACAGAGGCCAAAGTACAGAAACAGCCCAGATGTCCATCAGTGGGTGCTGGAGAAACAAGAGAGGCCGAGTCATCCAGTGGAATATTATTCACTTATGAACAGGAGTGAGGTACAGATACGCGCCACAGCAGGGGTGGATCTTGAGGACACAAAAAACAAAACAAGGCAGAAAAAGGCCACGTATCGTATGGTTCCATTTATACGAAACATCCAGAACAGGCCAACCCACAGAGACAGAAAGCAGGCAAAAAGCCAGGGGTTGAGAGAAGGGGTCTGTGAATCACGTTGTTTGCTTTCTGTACTTTACGATGCTTTGACATCTTGGGGTCCTGTAGACCCAGCGAGGGGTTGCCCCTCCCAGAGTTAGCTCATTCCTGGAGATGGCCAACAAGTTGCCTGAGTCAACGCCTTTATGTTCAAACTAACCAGTCCTGATTCCGCACAGCCACCCAGCTCCTACCATCGGACTCCTGCAGGCTGGCACTCATTTGCCTGCCCTAAGTCACCCGGGGGCCAGGTGCCAACAAGTGGGGACCATCTTACCAGCCTCCAGGTCCCTCCCTGGACCTGGCTCATGGCTGGGGCCTCCCAGGGCCCAGAGAAACCTGAGCCTAGAGAGCAGGACACTCAGCCAGGGTCTGCATGAGAGCAGCAGCTGGCCCGCACATCTGTGGATTTATCCCGAGTCTGTACTGTTCACGGTCAAGTGCATCGATGCTAAGGGCACCTCGTGTGGGGCTCTGCACAGACCCAGGGGGCGCCAGACGCCTCCACTTCTTTCCAGATGAACCGAGAGGAGTGGCCAGTGCTGGCCACTCACTGGTCCTTTGGCTCCTCTCTTCTCTACATCCCACCATTTCTTATCTTTTCCGATCATGGAAACATTTCCCACCTTGTAAATTTTCCCTTGACTTTTCCTTCTCTTATTCCGGGGCGTGCATTTCCCCTCCTGTTCCCCGTGGGGAAGGCAGCGTCGGGGGGCCAGCCCCCCGAGTTGGAGCAAGAGCTCCCACAACCTTTGATCTTCCCGCCGACACATGGCCCATTAATCACACTTGCAGATGCTCATGGTCTCGCGCTGACATCATGAGGCTGGTCTGAGGCACACGTGTGGCAGGGAACACACGCCACCGTGGGGCTGATTTAGGCGAGGAGGACTCGGTGGGGGACCACTGGCGCCGCGAATCACGGGCCGGGGATCTTCACATCACAGGCGAATGCTCCCCTCCAGCTTCGGCGGGTCTCAACCCAGTGGCTCCTGCCCGTGGTAACGAGGACGCCTCCTCCTTCCCACGGGCAGGGGGTTTTCACGACTCTCTTATTGTTAAGACTTTACTTTTCTAGAGCAGTTTAGGTTCGCAGCAAATCTGAGAGGAGGTTGCGAGATCCCCCAGTACCCGCTGCCTGCATGCCCCCACTGCCTCCCCGCTAGCAGCATCTCCCAACAAGATGCTGCATTTGGTATCACTGATGAAACGCCGACACATCATAGTCGCCCAGAGCCTACAGTGGACACAAGGTTCGCTCCTGGTGTACATGCTGTGGGTCTGGACCAATGCACGGCGACACGTGTCCATCCGTCTAGTGTCACGCGGAGCAGGCTCACTGCCCTGAGAACCTGAGCTCCGCGGCTCATCCCTCCCCTCGGACACCTAGAGACCACTGGTTTCCTGTCGTCTCCACAGTTCTGCGTTTTCCAGAATGTCATAAGTTACAAAGTTACAGTCACACGTATGTAGCCTTTTCAGATTGGCTTCTCTCACTGAGCAACAGTGCTTGATAACTTGTTTCTTTTTAGTGCTGAGGAACGTCCCATTGTCCGGATGGCCCACTGTTTGCTTATCCGTCACCTACTGAAGGACCTCGCGGGGACGCCCAGTGGTGGCGACTATGAATACATCCGAGTGCGGGTTTTCGTGTGGACCCGTTTCCGACTCCTCCAGGTAAAGGCCCAGGAGTTTGTCGGCTGGACCGCACGGTAAGAGTGGGGGTCGCACACCTTTTATTCCAACCCCTTGTCTGTTGCATTAGCGAGGGCCTCTGCTTTCTTGAATCTGAAATGTTAAACTCGCCATAAAAGAGAAAGGTTGGTGTTCCGGCCTCAGTTTGTCCTCAGTCCACCATGACAGATGGACACGGCGCGGGGATCTGGGGCTGGTGACTCAACCTTTCGCAGGCTCAGCTTTTCCTTTTTGCAAATTAGGACGGTAACGGTAGGCACCCCGATAAGCGGCAGTGATGATTAAGGAAACTAAGGCGAAGAGTGAAGCCCAAGGTCGTGTCGGGTTTGCTCTCGTTTCACCCTCACGTCTACTGTCTCAAGTTTTCTAGGCTGTTCCTTTAATGACCCTGTTGCGTTTCCACGAGTAATCCCCGGGCAGGCCTCTGACTAACACAGAACCTGCTTCTCTCGATTCCCCCCCCGTAGGAGCCCGCCATCCGCCGCTCGGAACGCTGCTCCGGGGGAGCCGAACGGTGGCCCCCGAGACGTCCAGGCCCCGACATCAGCTCCTGCGAAGGGACCTTCCAGGGCAAGGGGAACCATACAGAGGTGATGAAGTTGCGGGGTTTTGCAATGAGGAAAGGACCTTGGATTTTCTGGGTGGGTCCAGTGTGCTCACAGGCTCCTTCTCACAGGGAGGCAGGACAGCCTGAGTCAGACAGATGGAAATGGGACAACAGAAGCCGAGGTCAGCTGATGCGCTGTGGCCACGAGCCAAGGAATGCTGGCGGCCTCTGGAAGCCGGGAAATCAAGGAAACGGATTCTCCCCTGGAGCCTCCAGAAGGAGCATAGCTCTGCCCACACCTTGATTTTAGTCCCGTGAGACCCACTTCAGGCTTCTTGCTTCCAGAAATGTAGATAATAAATGTGCACTGTGTTAAGCCTCTAAGCTGTAATTCGTCACAGCAGCGATGGGAAGCTGACACGGCTTCCTCCTGGACCAGTCGCCGCGGGTCGTCAGTTCGAGGCGCCGGGGCTCAGTGGCTCAGAGTTTGCAGCCCCATTAAACGCTGTTTGCTTTTCTGGCTAAAGTCTGGTCCGTGGAGCCCCTGTCCTTACAGGCAATTAGATTTGCTTAATTGCTGCATTTGCTTAATTTTCCACTAGGCTCACCCTCGCCAGGGCTCCATACCTGACTCTGCCCAAATATGACAGTAGTTCAGTGGACTGTAGTGAAGCCTCATTAAGATCAAGAAGGATTTTTTCACTCTCAGATCCACCCTGAGGAGACGTGGCCGAGCTGGTCCACGTTTCTCCTGCGTGGCCTTGGCCGTGGTCCGCTGGGCACAGGGCTGCAGAGCCTCCTCTCCACGTCCTTCCAGTGCCACGGATGCGTCTGCCACAGACCGTCTCCCAGACACAGCAACCTCCAGGCGCATTAGTGAAATAAATCAGAAAATGGTTACTAGACATTTTCGGGCCTGGGGTGAAGGAAACTGTGGCATTTCTTGCCACAGAGAAATCTAACTGGTTTGTGGTTAATTTAAAAGCCACTTTGTATTGCTCTAGCTTTGACATGCGGTGCTGCTGTCTGGTGTGTACAATTAAGGAACATGAAGGAATAAAAGTTGCCAATGGTAGGAGACGATGACAATTCAATTTGAATAATAATGGAGACCAATGGGGCAGGAGAACCCAGCTCACCCAGAGTCTCGTGCAGGAGAGACGACGTGTCCCCTCAACGCTTGATGGTGAATGTCACACGGCACGGCCTCAGGAAGCTGACATGCGTGTCCTCCGTGTGGTCCTCACGCCACCCGGCACGTGGCCAGCTCTCTAGGCTGCAGAGGCTGCCTTTGGAGCATCCTCAGGTCGTCCCCACTCCAAGGAGGCAAATGGCCACAGCGGTCACGCTGCCACAGCCTCAGTTTTCTAATCTTTAAAATGGGGGTGTCGCCCTCCTCCTCATCACCCTGCCACGCGGAGGCCCCCGGGGGCTCCGTGAGAAGCTGCCGGTGGACAGCCCAGCACAGGGGCTGGCCCTTGACAGTGAATGACGTGGTGTGGTGGCCCCTGCGGTCAGGGTTCAGGAGGCCTCAGAGCGACCTGTGACTAACTGGCCGAGAAGTCGAAAGAGTCAAGGATGGATATGAACCGTGGCTACTGGAACCAAGGGCGGGACCACGGACAGACAAGGAGGGGTCAGCCTCACCCACGTCACCAGCATGGGCGCAGGAGAGATGGGGCTTCCTGCTGCCACCGGAGGGAGGGAGAGGGCCTGCTGGGCACCGCACCGTGGCACACTCTATCCCATCCCCCTCCGCTCCCCAACGCACCCCACTTCCTCCGGCTCATCCTAATGCGAAGGCCCCGGAGAACTGTCTGCCCCGTCCAGTGCCCGCGGCCACCTCTCCAGACAGCACGTTTCTTACTCAGGTTTCAAACCCGAAGCAACAGTGAGGAGCAGGGGCCCTCTGTCCGGGGCTGTTGCTCGGTGTCCCTGGGCTCCAGGAAGGCCGTTCCCTGTACAGGAGCCACACCAGAGGCGTCTGTCAGGACAGAGGAGCTGCTGAGGGTCACCCTCAGCTCTGGGCGGGTTTCCTTCTGTGTCGGGCAGACGGCTGCGATCAGGACACAAGAAAATAGGCGGAAAGGGCCTTGGTGCCTGAGACGCCACGTGGCTGAAATGAAAGTGGAAACAGTCCATCCATCCAGGGGCCTGTTTGGCAACACGGACTCACAGGCCGCTTGTCTGAATGAAAAACCTTCAGAAATAGTATCCGGCAAGAACACGAGCGTTCGGGTCTAACGTCGTTTTCACTGCATGTCCATCTGCTGCGTGTCCGTCTGTTTCCTTTTTTTATCCTTGGACGTTCTAACGGAGTCGGCATTTTTTCAGTTCAAAATTAGAGCCGAGGGTGGAGAGAGGGGAGAGGTATGTTAAGAAACGAACCGAGGCCAGGGCAGCACAGAGATCGACCCGCGAGAGGGGAGAGCGGCGCTGAGACGACCGCGAGCAGAGAGAGACGCCTGCCCGCTCGGCCTCCGCCCTCCGCCATCGGCACACCCGGGCCTCTCCCGCGTCTCATGGTTTCCTTCCACCCCACACTCAGAAATATCTGAGAGGATCCAACAGATGTGGTTCTATCTCTGTTTCCCTTTGTTATTCAAATGAGGGGGGAAAGCAACGTTTCAGAGACACGGTTTTAATTAGCGCATAAAATAGCAACATCTTCTCCGTGGGGACCAGCAGATCTGAGGTTGATTTGCGAGCGGGACTTCTGTCCATCCCTCCAATGTTTCCTAAGACACCGCCGTGGAAAATGTTGCTCTGCTTTTAAACGGAGGGTCCGGGCTCCGCGGAGAGCGCGGCCGTATATTAAAGGGGACTCAGAGGCAGCCGCTTGAACTGCTTGTAAACATCCCTGGAAATGAAAACCAGAGCCAGGCGGCCTCTCCGTGAGTCACGGGCACCCAGATGGCGGAGCTAACGGGGGGGCTTTCTTCTTCTGATCTCCAGATGACTTTCAAAAAGCCACGTATTTACCAGGAGTGCATCCTACCGGCCTTGGGAGCCGGCGAGCACCCCTGCTCCGTGCAGGCGAGTCGGGCGAGTCGGGGCGAGTCGGGCCACCGATCCCACCCGTGGGCGTCCCCACCGTCCTGGATGGGCCTGGAACAAACCAAACCCGGACCACGGAAATCCCAGAGAAGACGGGACGGTCCTAGAAGAAACTGGCTGAGCACTGACATTTGGGTTCCCCAGCTGGACTTGGGACGCGGTCCGAACGACTGGGCCTCCCAGTGGGGTGCATGGTGACCCACGTCCTGACCCCCGGAACCTGGGGATGCGACCTCACTTGAAAAGGAGGGCTTTGCAGATGTGATTAAGTCGAGGGCCTCAAGGTGAGATCATCCCGGATGAGTCAGGAGGACCCCAAATCCAGGGACAAGTGTCCTGATAAGAAACAGGGGAGGAAACGGCACAGGAAAGAGGAAAAGCCATGTGACGAGGGAGACGGAGACCAGAGGGGCACAGCCACAGCCGAGGGCCGCCCGGAGCCCCCGAGTCTGGAAGGGGCAGGAAGGGTGCTCTGGCAGAGCCTTCAGAGGGAGCCTGGCCCTGCCGGCACCTTGACTTTGACCTCTGACCTCCGTGGTGAGAGAGGAAAGCTCTTTGTTTGGAGCTCTCGGGTCGATACTTTGTTACAGCAGCGCTGGCACTGGGTGGAGGCCTCACCCGGGGGTGCAGGTGAACCCGGCCAGGGGCACACCGGGGTCACCTCCAGACTCCTGAGACCTCGGGGGAGGGCAGGGAGGCCTTGGAGCAGAGACGGGTGGGGCGGCCGCCTCTTCACTCCAGGCAGCGTCCAGGGCTTTGGGACAGCAGAGAGAGGGGAAGGCTGTTCTGACCCCCTGCCCTGCTGGCCCTGAGGGGAAGGACGGGTCCGGACATCCATCAGGGGGCTCAGCCGAGGCCCCCTTCACGGCCCAAACCAGGTGGGCCCGTGGCCTCAGCTGCCCTGAGAGTACGCGCAGGCTGACCAGGTTCAGGTCACCAGAAGTTGGGTCTGGATTCCTGTCCAGATCCCTTGAGCCTTCTAGATTGTTCCCAGGCACAGGCTCTTTAAAGATACACAGCTAAAGGTCGGCGGGGCCCCAGCACTTCGAATTCGGGGTCTGAGCCAGGACTGGAGCTCTGGCATTAAGGTCAGGCTGCACCAGCCATGTCTGTCTCAAGGTCCACAACCTTCGACAAAAGCAGGTCTGACAG